CAGCAACCTCCTAGAGCAGAGGCGCCCTGGAAGCCGCGCTGTCCCTCAGCCAGGTGAAGAGATAAGACTGGCAGCGCCTACTCAGTGCTGGGGTCCCTTTCGAGGTTGCTGCCAGGCAGCCCCCGCAGCACTGGTGCCCACAGCCCCGTGCGCCTCTGCCCAGCCGTCAGCCTAGCCGCTCACTTCCACCCCGCTGGGAAAACGTAGTTCATGGGCCCGGAGCGGAGGAAAGACACAAAACGCAGAAGCAGCGGCTGTGTTGTTGGTCCTCCCTCATGTTTAGACATGCTTGCTTTGCTTTCCCCGGTCTCTCTCCCCCCACAAGACGTGTCACCGACACGGCGAGCTCGTGTCCGCGTCTGTCGGTGCAAAACACGGCGACTGCACCATAAGCCACCGGCCTGCACCCACCCCTGGTCTCCCCTCACTCTCATTAGCATCCCTGCCCCTCTTGGAGGCCTGTCCAAGGCCGTCCCCCAAACACCTTTAAATATACCAGCATTCTGTTTAAAGTCAAGGCACTGTTCAAAGAGCTCAGCCAAGAAAACAAAGCACAAGCACCTACATCACCACGCCAGATGCTGACAGCAACGCAGGGTTATGGGTGGCGAGAATGGAAACAAAACAACTTGTACAACCGAAGGTCTCCTGCTATGCTGGTTTCAATTCCCCAAATGCCCCTGTCGCTGAGAAGACTCTATACCAGTGAATTTGAAATATGGTCTGTGCAGCTGCTCGGTGCAGGTATTTAAATCTGCCAAACCTCATCTGCAGCCAGAAGGGGTGAGTGTGTAGCAGACACTCGCCTCCCGCGCGCTGCTTTCTTGAGGGCATCCTGCCCGATTTGCTTCCGACGGCGTTTCCTGGCAGGGGCCAGGGCTGGGCCGACCGTTTGCGGTAGGATGCTCATCGCTGCACGTCGCCTTTTGCTCTAACCATCTGCGCCGACACGAGGGCCGAAAACAGGCCGTCGGGTCTAGGGCAGCCTGTGTCCCTACCCCCCCCCCCACCGTGCCACCGCGGCTTCACCCGAGCCAAGCGGCAGAGTGATGCCCGCCCTGCGCCAGCCCCTGCGTTAGCAGACACGGGCTGGGAGGATGCCAGCTCGCACGCACCAAAATCATGCTGGGGCGGTGCTAACCATAGCAGGGTGGGCCAGCCGAAGTCTGTGCCTGCGCGCCAGCCGTCTCCAGTTTAGCAGCACAGATGTAGTGTCAGTGACAGAACGGGCGTCCTGCACTTACGGGATGCAAACAGATTTCAGCCCCGCTTGGCTGCTGCTCATGTTCACAGACTGCCCCTGCTACCCGCCGGTATCAGAGATTTCTGCCTGTTCCTGTGTCAGAAGTGAGGGCATGAGGATACTTCTGCATCCGTCAGGCTGTGGGGCTTGGACTGGCCAAGTGGCCAAAAGCACGTAAATGTCGAAGGGTGCAGAATCAGGTGGCTGGTAGGGGACTCACAACTAGGCATGCAGCTCCCCAACACCATTTGCTCCCACGGCCATCGTTCCCACGTGGGGAAGGGGTTTGCAATTTGTGCAAAGCAAGGAAGAGCCATGAGAACAGAGATTCACCTAACCCTTCCAACCCCTGTTCATGACACCACTGGGAACTGGCCACATCTCCCTGCGAGGGTACGGGAACTGGCCCTGACAGCGACTGCCAGCTGGGGCAGGGCACAAACAGCAGCCACCCGTGCCAACGGCAAAACTCGTGTACAGACAGGCCATGCCATGACCGAGCAGCTCCAGCTCTCCACAGACTGGCAAGCAGAGGGCTCTGCAAGCAGGTTCTCCCCCACCGAGCTCGTCCCTGGGGCAGCCAGCATCACCCCGTCTCACGCCCCTCTCTCCGGGGAGGTGAACGTGCTTAGAGAGGAGCAGTGGACCCAGCGTGCCTCCCACAGAGCGCAGGGCTCTCCTGGAAGCAGGAGCCCTGGGCTTTGCCTTGCTTTGAGGGAGAGATGTTGCTCTCCTGCAAAGACAGGACCAGCTCGCGAGGCGACGGCAGCCGCATCCCCCCCACCTCTGGTGAAGGTGCCTGCTTTGGGAGCCGGGGCGGCACGAACGTGCCAGGAGCATTGCTGCTGGGCTCGAGCTCTTCTGCTGGCTGCCTGCAGCAGGCAGGATGGAAACCAGGGCTGGGGGAGAGCGGGGTGAGGGGTGGGTTCTGCCCTGCCGTGCTTCGGCCCTTCCTCCCCCATCCTTTCACAGGATCCTCAGATCCTCCTCCAGCCCACTCGCAGCCCAGCAACCTCCCTCGTCCCCAAAACCTGCACAGCATCTCCCAGGTGGCACAGCTCCCTTTCCCTGCTCGTTGAGGGTTATTTAATGCCACTTCAGAAAGCTTCAACTTCCAGGCAGGGGCGACGCTCAGCACTCCCCAAAACGCAGACCCTGCCAGGTGTCCACCACGGGAGCGTCACCAGCCACCCAACTGGCTGTGAGCAGGGCGGAGAAACCAGTCCCTGCGCTGCTGCCAGACGGGACCACTGGACTCTGACTCAGGGTCCCGCCGCCCGCCTTCGGCTTCCCATCAAGGCGCCCCATGAACTAGCAGGCGGCTCAGCAAGACCATTCTGCACATCCCTGACACCCTCCTGCGCCTCTACGGCTTCCCCCCAACCTGCCCGGCGTGGGGAGCGTGCAGCCACACGGCTCGGAGGAGCCCACCCGCAGCCGCAACAGCAAAGCCTCCGCGGCGGCGGCTGGCCGTCTCTGCCTCGTTACAGAGCAGCCCACTTCGCGTGTCACTCTCCAGTAGCATGTCCTTTAACCACCAGTGAAAGCAGCCGGTCCCCCACGAAGGCACATCTGCTCCAAGTCCGTGTTACAACAGGGAAAAAAAAATGACACCTTCAGCTATATAAACCAATAAAGACTGTCTGATTTGGTTTGCCCCTGTTGCTACCCAGCAAGCTCCCCACTGGGTTAAAGACTGGTGACATCTGCTAAAAAAATGTCAAGAGTGAGGAGAACAAAACCGGGTAATGAATCACGGCGAGCGCTCGATGCAGCCGGGAGCCGGAGGGGCAAGTCCACCCTACCTGGCTGCCCGGCCGAGGGGAGCCGGGACCACCGGCCAGGCACGGCACAGCCCCGGGGGCCCGGGAGATGCAGGCAGGGAGGCACAGCAGCCGCCGAGACCGTGGCCTCTCTCCCGCTCTCCGACGTCAGGAGATGGTAAAGTTAACTCTGCCCCCTTGTGCATCTGCATCACGATACAGGCCGTAATTAGGCGGCACGCTTCTCTTCCTCGTGCGAAGAGGGGAGCACACGTGGCTCGCCTCCCTGTCCCCGGCAGCGCGGAGCCTCCGTGGGACACCTCCGTGGGCACCCCGCGCCCACCCGTGCAGAGGGACCTCGCGCCGAGCAGGACGGGGGGGCGTTACGGACACTCCCGGGGACCCCCTCAAACAAAGACACTGGAGTAGCTGTTTATGCCTCTCCAAATCCGCAGCCCTGAGCCTGTTATAAAGGCAGTTTAGACGGTCTGCTGAGGACAGCATTACTGTCCGGCTTATGTGCTCGAAAATCATGACTCATCCTGCCAAAAACGGTGGGGGTTGTTTTCGAAATCACGTGCTCTCTTCTAAATGTGAGCTGGCAAAAGATGGGGAATTTCTCAGCTCTGCTTCTGATCCTTCCAAGGAAACATTCAGTTGTTTTTTTCTACAATTAAACCAGAGTCTTTTGTAACTGCAGGCACCCAAGAAGCGGTGCTTCAGGACAGGGCTGTGACAGAGCCGTGTGGTTTCAACACAGACAACCTCTCTCCTGACCTGGCTGATAAAAATACAAAATCTCCACCCTACCTGCTTTAATGCATAGGTTTATCTACACCCTTGTGGCCTTGACTTGGAAAAAAAAATATTAGAGTCATGATCGCAGAGTTAACTAACAACGGCATATTCAGCGAGTACCTGAGGACAGGGCATTTCATACCCTCGCCATCGCACCATCGTGCCTGAAATCAGCCCCACAAACCTCCTGCAGGTTCCACCCCCCCCCGCCGTGTCAGCAAACCAAGCGACCTGTCCGTGCATCCCCACCGCTGCACCCGCAGAGCCCTGACCCTGTTTGTGCAGCTCGGGTGCCGCTCTGCTCGCCCAATTTTAGCCGGGGTCCCCCCGGGGGTTTGGTTAATGTCGCTACGGCTTCTGCCCACTGCATCCCATGTGGGGCCGGGCAGCGGTGGGGACGGAGGGGCACCCCTCCTCCAGGTGACCCCCACAGCTGCAGCATCCCCGCTAAGGCTCTGGTGTCCCCTCCACTACCGCAAACGCGTCCACCGTCTTGGCCTCAGCTCCTCTCTGCAAGCTCTTACTAAATGAAAGGGATGCTCTAGATTAAAGGCATGTTTGTAAGACACCAACACAGAATTTCCCTTCTCTTCCCTGGCACCCTTCTCTCCAAAGCAGCGTTTTCATTAGGAAAATGCCCAGGACGCAGAATGAAACAGGACCTGCAGTGGATCTGAGGAGCGCTGTCAACACCCAGCACCAACCAGACCCTGTTCGCTCCCACGCCGCCCAGACCCATCAACCCTGCCCAGCACAGAGGGACCTGCAGAGACACAGCTCTGACATTAATTTTCTGTCTCTTTGTGGATGGGGTTGCCTCTCCGGTATTTCAGGTGGCCACAGATTCAGCACAACGGTGACACTTCCCCTTTTCACAGGCTGGAGGGAAATGCGCCCCGGTCAGGAGGAAGGTTTGGTTAGAAACTGTGACAGACCCCCAGTGCTTCCTGAGACACCCAGACAAGCCCCTGCTCCTCGATGGGGTCCTGCCTCTGGAAACTGGGTCACTCCCGAAGACCCCGGCTCGACCTGCCAAAGCAGGACCAAACCCCACCCGCAGCTCCATCCCATCACCGGCGTGCAGCACCCGCCCCGTCCCCATCCCATCCCACCCCTCCCGGCCGCGCATCGGTGCGCACACCCCCCCGCAATCCACCCTACCCCTCCCACCACCACCAAAAAACAGCTCCCTCTACCTTCATCCCTCTTGCGCTTGTTGCTCTCGGTGCCGGGGGAGGCGATTCCCAGGATCCCGCTGATGGAGTAGGACGAGCCGGCCGAGTCGGTGCTGACGGAGGACACCTGGGTCACAGACCCCGTGGAGGCTGCAAGGCAAGGCCAGGCGGTCACTGGGGAGGACAACATAGGCACCAGCCCACCCAAAAACCACCAGCCAGCGAAGATTCCCCCCCACACCAGACAGCCAGGCTCACCCAGGGGCGGCCAGTTGTGGTCCACATGGCTGAAAAGCACCAAGGACCCCCAAAATACCAATTAAATCCACTTTGGTTTAACAGATCCCTCAGGAAAGGGTGCTGGCTGCGCCCAGACAAGGCGGGGTGGGGCAGAGGGGGTCTTTCATCACAGCCCACACCAGACCGGAGATATCGGCACATCCCCAAAAAGCACTGTGCAGTCCCTGAGCGTGGACCATGCTGAAGACCCCCCATCCACAGCCCACACTGAGCAAACCTGTGTTGGGAATCCCTGCTGCCTCTATCAACCCCAAGCTCTGGGAAAGAAGATTTCTCTCCTCTGCTCTCGTTTTCCTCAAGGAGAGGTGGCCCTTACGCCACTGTAGCAAAACGAGGGATGCTTTTCCTCCTCTGAGGTTGTTTTGGCATTTCCCGGAGAGAAAAGCTCAGGGCACGGGGCTGCGGCGTGACTTCTCCGACGAGCCCGAAGAGTCGATGCAGCTCTGCGCCCACGCTCCGTGCCCCACGGTGCCAGCCCACCCTTGCCAAGGGCGGGGGCACAAAGCATGTCCCCCCTTCCACAGGAGACAGGGTAGAGGCAGAGAGGAACCAGGACCCCCATCCCGCCTCCCTTCAGCCCGTGGAGCAGGGGCTGACCCATGCCCCGGCCGCTTTCACGGAACAAGGGCAAAGAGAAAGCAGCCCCCGAGCCCCTCCATCCCTGCCCTGGCACGAAAGGGCAGATCCCCCCACCCCGGAATGACACCCACAGCCTGGCGAGGGGCTGAGGGGCCCTCGCCACCCATGCCACCCCTCCAGGGATCCCCCCCCCCCAACCAGCATCGCCTGCCTCGGGGTGCAGCGCCGCTGGGCTGCGGCTGAATTAAAGTTTTGGAAAGTTTTGCTACCTCTTCACTCAAGACTGCGAGTGCACAAAGAATTATGGAAGGGATGGTTGATAGATGAAAAAAACACATTCAAAACTACTTACTGACTAATGATGCAGAAAATGTTATGAATAAGTATCCCTTTCTTGATTTATTACTTTAATTATCTGACATTCTATAGACCCCCATTAGTGGGGGTTTTTTGGTTTAGATTTCAATTTTCTGTCTCATGGTGAAAGCTATTTATCATAATAATCAGTAAAATTCAAAACCTTTTAGCAGTATTTATAAAATTCATTTACTATGTTCAGCCCTTGGAGAATGACAAAGAAGGCGCATTAGCACGTGTGCTGAAGTGTTTTATGCAGAATTATCTGTCCATAAGAATGATTAAAAGTTCTTTAGAATATTTGTAATCCATTATGCTATTTTTTTTAATATTTAAAAAAAAAAAAAAAGTTTTCCTTACCTATGCTGTGACTGGAGGCTGGGACCTGCTGATTGGGTGGCTGCTGCACCTTCGTCCGTATGATCCTGCGTGCAGTCGAAAAGAAATGACTACGGAGCATCAAGCATGCAATTGCAGGAAGCATCAGACACTGCTTTTTCAGTTCAGGACACCCACACCAGTACAAAAATGCCTTTCTGCGCATTATCCCCTCATCATCCACCAAAAGACCCAAGTTTGGTGAGTGGACCCAGGACCATGTTTTTGCCATTGGGGACATTTGGGTGACCGACTCCTGCACGCTCCTCAGCATTTGCTGCTTCGATGCCTTTGAGGACTGCACCCTCCCAGCCCAGGAACGAGACATCCATTGGTATTTGGGCACCCGCTGGGCCCAGCACCCCCTCCTCAGGGAGCTGGACACTTCTGAGTCCAGACGCCCTGTAAGGCTGTGATCTGCACCCTTGGGTGCTGGGACACATTTGCAAATCTGTCCCTAAAAGCCACCCCGGGCTCTGTACTCGCACAGTGAAATAACTCAGACACCTCGGAGAAGGACCTGCTTAGCCAAATTAATATTAGAACAAAAAATGTGTTGGATTAAACGCTAATCTTAAAAGCTGAATAACTACATTGTCACTGCTGGGGACAGCCTCTGCTCTGAGTTACGATCACCAGGAGAAATTCAGAGATGCAGAAAAAATGGAAGGCATGTGTTGTGTTGCAGGACAGAGGGCAGCCCCTAAGAGCTGGGGAGGGGCTCTAGCAAGTGCTCACCTGCCGATGCAGGGTGGACAGAAAAAAAAAAAAAAAAAGAAAAAAAAAAAGAAAAGAAAAGAAAAGACAGGGTCTGAATCGCCTCCAGAGACAACAGAGCTGTGCCACCGACGGCAGCAGCACGAGGACGGGCTGGGAGGAGTCAGGCTGCTCGCTCCCCGCACACCTCCCCGCCCGGCTTCTCCCCTCTTTGCCGGGCAAACCCTCCTCCCGCTTCTGCCCACCGTGAACGGGGAAGCGGGGAGGCGTGGGACAGAGCTGGCGTGGGGAGGCATTCACGGGAGCAAGCAGCACTTGCTCGCTTGAAAGCCACCCCGTCAGCCGGCACAGGAGCCACCACCAGTGACGCCCAGTCCCACCCCAGCAGCGGGCACGCTGCCATCCCCTTCCCCTCCCAAACCTCTGCCGAATCTGACGGAGGCTGGCGGGGAATAGGGTGGTTCACAAACCAGTTTTCGGCTGCCAGCCCCGCAGCAAAGACGCTGGGTGTCAAACATCTTTGGTAGCTGTGTCCCCCGCCCCTCCCCGGGCAGCAAATTCCCCTGCCAGGGGCCAAAGGGAGCTGTGCAAGCAGCTTTGGTGGGGGGAACCAGAGACCTGGGACCCTGCGTGAGCAAGAGGGGAAATCACACACACCCCCCCCCGCACAACACCTCCTCACCGCCGTGGCGAGGGAAAGGTGTCCGGGGCCGCCTGACACATGAACATCTTCATCGCCGGAGGGACGGAGGGCTCGAGCACTTCAAAGCATCTGGGCAGCTCTCAGATTATTTGAGCAAAACTAATCGCAATGATTAATTAAGGCTTAATCACACAGAGCTGCTCCTGCTGCGGAAGAGCGGCCTAATATTAATATTAATTAATGTTATTAATTAATAATAATAGTTATTATTCACTCGTATACAGGGGCAGCAGCTCAAATTCATCTGCTACAAGGCACCCCCAGCAGTGGGGGTGTGCTGAGCACAGTCCATCCCTGCGGCTCCCCAGGAGGGAACAGCTCAGCCCCAGGGGTCCCCTCAATCTGCCGGGGGCAGGGGGAGCAGCGCAGTGGCCCCGTCCTCCCCAGTGCAGGAGGCAACTGCTCGGCTTCACCCTCCCAGTAGCTGGATGGAAAACAGATTTCCAAGGGGCTCGGGTCTGCAGCGACAAGGCAACCCCTGACCTGCGCCTCAGAATAGGGTGAATAAGGACATCGTGCCCCCAGAGCGGGGGTCTGCATCCTCGGCGTGCAACATCCCCACCAGCGAAGCCTTGAGACATACACGTGATTTTAAACACAGGGATAAATCCCGCAGACTACAACGTGGGACTGGGAGGATTTGGTACTGAACCCAAGGGTTTGGGTGTCAAATCCAGTCTTCTCGTCCTGGCAGTGCGGTCTGGGTTTTCAGGATGTGCTCCTAGGGTGGCAAAACCAATTCTCTGGGTAAACAGACCGACTGAAAAAGATTGCGTGTGTTTTCAAAAGGGGATTTCACACCTCTAAGGAAAGGAAAAGACCTCAGCCACAGTTGCAAGCAGATGAGAAAGAACGAGACTTCCGGCCAAAAACTTTGGTGCCAGATGGTGAAACAGGTTTCTGATGCAATGGCAGTGAGTGTGTGGACATTATCAGTATGGGAACACACAAGTACGCAGCAAGAGGTAGAATATGAAAATTGTCTCGAAACATGACTGGAAGCTACTTAATGTCTCTTTTTCATATAACTAGGAGTGCCTTTTTCATAGCTTTTTGGGGGATGCTTGAAGCCCTACTACACAAACCCAGGGCTGCTCGCAGCAGCAGTGCTTCTCACGTGGCAGGGCTCAAGCTGACTTTTACGGAAGCAGAGTTTGCCCTTAGTAACCTGAGGTCAGTCAGAGTGATGTTTTCCTTCAGTCTTCCTGGTGTCTATATTATTTCTCAAATCCTTTTTAAAACTGAAAATGCCGTGTCCGTAGGGCCACTGAATGCCACTCTGGAGCCCCAGGGAGTGTGGAGCTGCCAGGCAGCAGCACAGCCTGCATGTGAACTGCCCCATTTTTCTTTTAAACACACGAAGGTATGACTCAACGTTCGGCTGGGCCAGGCAGAGGCACCACTCTCCACTAACGCTGGGGAAGCCACTCCGGCTACTCAAGCGGCAACTCCATGAATGCAAATCAGGTTGGGATAGCCAATAAAAGAATATTGCATCAATTTATTTCACGTCCATGGACACAGATGGGACTTTATAGCTAGCTGCCTTCAAAGAATTTGCATGCAATCGCACAAGTGAAAACCATCTCACTGGCATGGTGAGGTCAAAGCCCGGCACAGGGTGTACCCCTGAGAGAAAACGAAAGGACTCTGCTTGCCAGGGCAGTGCGTGTGCATGAGGCTGCCCAAGCACTCTGCCTTCCGAGTATTAATCCCTGATTATCCATCTGGCAGGGCTGGGGACATCACAGAGCATTCCACCGGGCTGTTTTCAGCACCTGCTTTAGGCACCCTTCGACTCAGAAGGAAGCGGGTGAGCACAGAGGGTGTCACGGAGGTGGCAATGGGCTATTACAGCTCCAGGCCCCTCTGAGCGCCCAGTCCTGCCCAGCGAGGCCGTGGCCAAACTCCTGCACGTGAGGCTCCGAATGGGATGCTCCTGCCTTTTTACAAAAGGAATTTGAGGCCGTTTAAGCGCGTCCGTGTAGCAGGCAGGCGGCTGAGGCACTACTGACCGAATTCCCCCGGCGATGGGCAGGCTGGCGGGAGCAGCCAGCAGTCAGCGCGGTTCTGGGCCAACTCCAGCAAGGCTGAGCAGGCGTCAGGAGAGCAGAACTGGCACCTTAGACCCGTGCCCTGGGTCCCCTCCTCCAGGCAGCCGAGCCCCCCACTTTCCCCAGATGACTGCTGCCCCATTCAACAGCCTGAGCTCCCCCTGGGGGGATGCATGTCCCACTGGTCCCCCACCCCGTCACGCAGAACCCAGGGCTCATTCGGAGCGAACGCATCACCAGCGAGGACGGCGACTCGCCGAGCGGGGAAAGGGCGGGAGAGAGGCAAAGGCCAGCAGCAGAACCTGCCCGCTGCGAGGAAAAACATGCACCGCCTGTGACGCCCCAGCCGCCGAGGTGAGCCCCCCGGCTGCTCCCCAGCCCCGAACGCCGCAGGGAAACGCAGGCAAGCAGCACGAGACACCCGGTCCGACCAACAAACGGGGATTCGGTGGCGGATCTCCCGAGGACCATCCCTCCCCAGGACCGGACAGATCTTTACCTGTTAATGGAACTGACGCTGGGCACGGTGTCGTTGTCACACACTCGCTCAGCGAGGAGTCTATCCCTGATCTCCCAGGCAAACATGGTGGGATTTTGGCGTTTGTACTCTGCAATTTTTTCAACGACTTTGGGTGTGGCGACCTTTGGTTTTGATCCTCCAATCACTCCAGGCTTAATACTCCCGGTTTCGTAATACCTGGGACAACATCCAAAACAAAGCTTTGGTTATCACAAATAGACAGAGAACATGCTTTGAGATTTATAGAGAACATAATTTCAAGGTAACCAAACCCCAGCAAATCCTGAGATACATCTTCACTTTCACATACACATTTTCTGCCTATGTAGTGCTTTATCACCTAATAGATTAACTTATAGTAATTGGAATTGGGCCTCGGGATACAATATATATTTTTCCGTAATAGCAAGACAAAAGAAACAATGCAAGATTAAAGGGCATGCCAGGATCCAAAATTAACTGAAAATGTGTGTTATTAATCAGTGGTGCCGGCAATAATAGAAACAAATCACACCAACGACCACTTTTTGCGGTGGACTCTTTTGTAGCAAATTACTGCTTCTACAGAAATTCTCTGTCATTAATATCTACGGCTTGTTACCATTTCATAGTGAAATGAAGGCTAGGTATTGTGTTTTATTTGTAACTCTGGCATAAATATGCTGGCATATCTTCTTCCTATTTCATGGTGTTAATGTGCCTATTATGGTTTTAATAGTTAATATTTTTCAAAATGCATTTTTTCTAACGTTATGTTTTTAGTAGTTTCAGTTGTAAATTTCAAGGAAAAGGGATCTGCCCACGCTCTGGAGGGGGTCCAGCTGATGCGGGGGTTGTTTTCTGTGACCAGCCCTGCGGCCCTCCCTCGGGTGCAGCACCTTCACCCACACCAGCAGCTCCGCTGAGGCCACGCCGGGGCAGGCGGAGGGCCGGCTCCCCAAACCGACAGAAACCTGCCAGATTGCCCCACGCGTAAACTGCACAAAGAGCAGCTGCTTGTGGCAGCATCGCGACAGCGCATCACAGCCAAGATCCCCGGCCCCACAACTCTCCTCTTTCCGCACTCGAAGCCTGGAACGCTAAGAGCAGAAGCCGTTTCCTTTTCCACCGAGGGCTGGAAGGGGAACGGGGAACAAGATCGTGCTCCCCTGCGCTGAGCTGTCACACACGGCACGGGGCACTCTCCCGGCCACGCACTTCTCGGCATCTTGCGACTCTTCTCAGGCCCAGGCGAAAAATAACCCCCCTCCCCGTGCCTACCTGCAACAACCGCCCCAACCTCCCTGATCCAGCTCACCCTTTCTGTGCAGAGCAGACCGCGACGTCGTCAGCCTCTCAACCAGACGCCCTCTGAGCTGCAGGCTCTCAGCAGCTTAAACATGTCCACTCAGTGCTCTGTGCCCATATTTCTAGTAGGGAGCTCAGGAAAGACTCCCAAGTAAGAGCATAAGACTGCTTATTAATATATTTTCTCTGCAGCTACTTGACATACCCATTATATGAAAAAAAAAAAAAAAAAAAATTAATTCCCCAATCTTTCCAGCGTGAGCAGAACACAAACAGGTTGCGCAGCCGAAGTCTGTCTCACTGTAACACGCAACCATGTTCATCAAATTTCTGCCAGGCTACGGGTTTTCAATCTTTCTGGGAGAGCTCGGAGTGCAGGGCCTAAAATTCCTTTAAAGAGACTGACACTGTGTTGTTTGTACATGTTTTCAGATGTTCTGGATGCAGATGTGGACTCAGATCTATCAGTCCCCATCAGCCATTTAAGCAATATTAGTACTGTAAAGTGTCAAGTGTCAGGGATGGATTAACCCCTCCCCGTGTCCCTAAACGCAGCCTAGTAGCAAGCTTTATGGGCAGGGGGGGTACAATTCAGCTCCTCCTCTGCTTCCTGAGGACATGGCAAAATCATGACAAACATGGATCAGAAACCTACTAAAACCTTGCATCCCTGGCCCCAAAATGTTCGCCGCCGCCACCTCTCCCACGGGGAGGGTGTTGAAGGAAGCCAAACAATACCGTGAATGCCACCAAACAAAAAGTCTCAATTCTCTTAGTTCCGGTCAAAACGAGGGGTTTTAGGAACGCTCCTTTGTGTCCTTCTCCAAGGGTGCCCCGCTGCACCGTGACACGGTGCGCTGCACCAGCTCGGGGGCCCGCGGCCGCACAGACCCCGCGGCCGACCCGGGGGGCGCAGGATCAGCCCCAGACCCTCTTTTCCCGGGGAGAGCTCGCCGTGACGGGGGGACATCTCCCCCCGCCCTTCGCCCCAGCGTTGAACCCGCAGGTGGAGGGCCCGCGGGCTGCACAGCCCCATTCCCAAGGCCAGGATGGCAGCGGACAGCTGCATTTCACGCACATCGGGTCCGGGCCCTCTGCTCCCATCCAGCTGCCGATGCAGGTGAAGAGTGGGCACCCCTGCGGCACCCCCTCCAAGCGAGGGGGGGGAGACTTTCTCTCGCAGCGCCGCTGCCGCTTCCCTGCCTCTGGGTGTTTTCTAAGGATGCATCAAGGTCTGAAAAATTCTGACCACGAATATTCCAGCTGTAAGGATTTATCATCCAGATTCCTGCTTTTCACACACGCACATGAAAAAGCGCACACGCGGAGCCGCAATTACAGTGACATTTTACCCACTGTAATTATTTGTTATGAAAATAATGAGCTATGAAATTCCAATTTATTGTTGACAACTTTAATGACAAAGCTCTAGAGCCTCACTCCTAGCTCGGCAGTACAAATATATCTAATGTTAAACCTATCCAAACTATCAAAAGTAACACCGTTGGGAGATTGGCCTGGCAGGTAAGTAAACTGCCCGTGTTTTAGCTGCGCTGGCCCTGGTGGGAATTGGAGGCAGATCTGCCGCAGCGGAGAGCATCACCAGCCGAACCGCGCCAGCCGGGCGGGGAGCGGGAGCCGTGCCAGCAGCAGGTGCGAAGCAATAACCGCGGGAAACAGCCCGCGGCGGGCAGGCAGGGCTCAGGCGCTGCCCGTGCGAAGCTTCCCTCCCCAAAATAGTAAAGGCATCGCCACCCCCAACCCTACAGCTCGCGTGGGAATGCGTCTCCCTGCCGCGAGGGTGTGAGAGAAAGAGGAGGGATGCTGAGCGTGCCCCACGCGCCGTGCGGGGCCACGGACACGCTGCTCACCGCCGACGGGGAGCACGGGTCACGGGGGGCTGCGGGGAAAGGGGTGTCCCCCGGGGATGCCAAACCGGGGGCCCGAGACCGTGCCGAGTCAGTCTGAATCTGAACGCTGAAATGGACACTGACAGACCGCAAATGATGCTAATCCGAGCAGCTCTCCTGCGTATACCACCGAAAAAAAATTTGCCTCAACAGCCTCTGCAGCTACGTCGTGCCCAGGAAAGTGAATCGGTTAAAAATTGGAAAAGAAAAAGATAATAAAAATAGTAACAGTAGAATTCTAAACCATGAAGTTAACTGTGAAAGTTTAGTAAAGAGTTCAGTCATTAACTTTTCCAGATTACCACTTCTAAAAAAAAAAAAAAAAAAAGTGTTTTCTTTAATATAAGTTGCCCAGGTACCTCAGAATGCCTGAGGTCCAAAACCATTCTAACACTATACTTCACACAAATTACGTTCAGCTTTGTTCACAAGATACAAAGAAGCAAGGGTGGTATTTTTGACCTGAATGTATGTCAAATTTTAAAACAAAATCAGAAAATGATAGGAATTCGGAGTTTAATTTCTTGCTCTCACAGCGGTTTGAACAGCTCCATCCTGAACAGAGGGCTACTCCCAGAACAGCCAAAATTAAGAGGGTTAGTAGTTACTTGTGGTACTCTGTGCATTCATTAAGAATGTATTCCAGCACAAGAGAAGAAAAAGACGTTGAATTAAGCAGTGGGACAGATTGCAGAATAGCCAGTGTGAATAAACACACAGCAATATCGATGCAATACATAGTGATATTATTGCTAAAAGAGAGTGGTCTTCAGAAAACAAAACGAGTAACTTCCACAACTTCTTTTTTCCTTTCCACTCCACTGAAGATGACTCCCTGATTTCTCTACTTGTTCAGAAGAGGCGGGGGCAGGATATGTGCCACATAGACAGCAAATACCAACCCCCCCACATGGCATTTTGCGCTTTGCGTTAGAATTACCCACAAGAAACTGTGAAAGGGGCAAAGCAGACACGGGAAGACTGGCCGCCTTCTTCCCGCATCGGGCATATAAACCCCTGAGCGGTCAGGACCTCCCTGCGCTCACCGGGATGATTTCCCGAGGTTTTCACTGCCCTCCATTTGTTCGCAGCCTTCAGTTCAGGGACCGGCGTTGGCACTTTTTGACGGACACAGAAGGATTCGCCGGCCCCCCTCGCCCAGCCCCCACTCCCCCCACCCCCCAACCCCCCACCCCCTTTTACCTGCCAAGTATTTTGCTGACGCAGCCGTGGCTGACGCGGAGCTGCCGGGAGATGTCACACGGCCGGACCCCTTGGTGGGCGAGCTCCACGATCCTTTGGCGAACGACATCTGGGAGGGGGCGGCCGTTCACGAAAACACCCCCCAGCTGATTCACGCCTCCATGTCCTGAAACACACCGGGGAGGGGGGGGAGGGCGGGAGAAGAAGAGCTGTGTGAGAGTTCGGGACGTTTCTGCAGGGCAGGCGCCCCCCCACCCCCAAGCCCCAGCGCTCCCCAGGCGCTGGGCATCCCCCTCCCCAGCATCCCTGCAGCCTCCAGCCCCTTTTCCCCCCGCGCCGCGGGACCCGAAGCGCGGAGCCGGCCACGCTGCCTGCGCTGCCGTAATGCCACTCGCCGGGGGGGTGCAGGGGGGGCCCGGGGGGGGGCACCCTCCTTCCCGGAGGCAGATCGGGCCCCATGGGGAAAGCAGGGAGCGATGCCCGGCTCCCCAAGCGCGGGCCACCCTCCGCCCGAAGCCAGCAGCCGCAATCGCCCGGCTGCAAACTCTGTGGCCAGGCCTGGTGCTGCCCCGTGGAGGAGAGGATGCTCGTGAGCCTCCAGCTAGGAAGCCAGCCGAAAATAAGGCTGGGTGATCGCTCAGCCCACACACTATTTATGTCCAAGCACAGAAGGAGAGACCTCAAATGAAATACGTGGCTTTTTTGTTTTGTTTTTTTTTTTTTTTTTCCAGATGCCTTGACTTAATCAAGAGGAAAAAAAAAAAAAAAAAAAAAAAAGAGCGTGATTTCTGCTCTTACAATTTACAGCAGTCTTGGCAGGTATTATGATCCCACAAATGAAACATGAACACTCAGGCAAGCCCAGTATATTATTCCTTTTCGAGCAGATTTGCACTGTTCACCTTTGGCAAGGTGAATCATATATCTGGTGGGAAATGGGACCCACTTGGGTAGATAGTAGTGAAACTGTGTAAAACCCATAATAACACATAATAATCCCATATACCAAGTGAGGAAACATAATTAACTCCCGTGTTGTTAATCATCCAAACTACTTAGATTACAGAGGAGTAGAGAAGTTGAAAACAAGCAATAGGGGCAGTAGGGATGCCAAATCTGGAACAAAAATAATACAGAAAATCTCCTTGCACAGGGCTTGAATGGTACTGAATAAACTGGCATGCCAAATGCCTCGGTGTGTTTTAAAAAAAAAAAAAAAAAAAAAAAAAAAAAAAAAAAGAAAATGCAGAGAGATAATTTTATTTAAACCTGGTCACTTCACCCCCGATAAACTGCTGTCAAACTTTGCAAACACCTTCCAAAACCGTCATAACGAATCCACGTGAACGCTGTGCCCGCTAAAGCCTGTGGCCAGCAGACAAGTGTCCGGCGCTGCCTCTGCCTTTGCGAGAGGCAGACCTCCGCCAGCGGCCGAGCCGTCCGGGGCTCCCGTGTCCCCCCCGCCGCCCCGGGGTGCGGGGAGCGGACCCCCGCGGTGCCGGGGCTGCCCGGGAGCCGCGGCGGCGCCGGGACAGCTCGATGGCGGAGGCGAACGAGGCCACGGGCTTCTCGCCTATTAGCGGCTTTAATTGTCCGGAATCACGCGCGGCGCGTTCAGGAGGAGCAGCGAGATTCTGCGGCGGAGGTCGGGGAAAGGGAGAGGGAAGGGAGGGGGTGAGGATGGAAGGAGGGAGAGGGAAGGGAGGGGGTGAGGATGGAAGGAGGGAGAGGGAAAGGGAAAAGGGGAAAGGGAAAAGGGGAAAGGGGAAAGGGAAAGGGAAAATGGGAAAGGGAAAGGGAAAGGGAAAGGGAAAGGGAAAGGGAAAGGGAAAGGGAAAGGGAAAGGGAAAGGGAAAGGGAAAGGGAAAGGGAAAGGGAAAGGGAAAGGGAAAGGGGAAGAGGGGGAAAGTGAAGGGGAGGAAGGAAGGAAGGGAAAGAGAGAAGGAGTTAAAAGAGAGAGGGAAGGAAGGGAAGGAGAGAAGTAGTTAGAAGAGAGAGGGAAGGAAGGGAAAAAGGACAGAGGAAAGGGAAAGGGAAAGGGAAAGGGAAAGGGAAAGGGAAAGGGAAAGGGAAAGGAAAGGAAAGGAAAGGAAAGGAAAGGAAAGGAAAGGAAAGGAAAGGAAAGGAAAGGAAAGGAAAGGAAAGGAAAGGAAAGGAAAGGAAAGGAAAGGAAAGGAAAGGAAAGGAAAGGAAAGGAAAGGAAAGGAAAGGAAAGGAAAGGAAAGGAAAGGAAAGGAAAGGAAAGGAAAGGAAAGGAAAGGAAAGGAAAGGAAAGGAAAGGAAAGGAAAGGAAAGGAAAGGAAAGGAAAGGAAAGGAAAGGAAAGGAAAGGAAAGGAAAGGAAAGGAAAGGAAAGGAAAGGAAAGGAAAGGAAAGGAAAGGAAAGGAAAGGAAAGGAAAGGAAAGGAAAGGAAAGGAAAGGAAAGGAAAGGAAAGGAAAGGAAAGGAAAGGAAAGGAAAGGAAAGGAAAGGAAAGGAAAGGAAAGGAAAGGAAAGGAAAGGAAAGGAAAGGAAAGGAAAGGAAAGGAAAGGAAAGGAAAGGAAAGGAAAGGAAAGGAAAGGAAAGGAAAGGAAAGGAAAGGAAAGGGGAATGAGAAAAAGAAGAAAAAGAAAAAGAAAAAGAAAAAGAAAAAGAAAAAGAAAAAGAAAAAGAAAAAGAAAAAGAAAAAGAAAAAGAAAAAGAAAAAGAAAAAGAAAAAGAAAAAGAAAAAGAAAAAGAAAAAGAAAAAGAAAAAGAAAAAGAAAAAGAAAAAGAAAAAGAAAAAGAAAAAGAAAAAGAGACAAAAAGAAAAAACAGGGAAAAGGAAAACAAGCATGAAGACGTGTATTTCCTTATGGAAAGGGCTGATTCACCGCCCGGAGCCAGTTCCCAGCCCCCGGGAGGCCGGTGCAGCCCGGGCCTGCCCAGGCCGAGAGCATCCGACCCTGCAGCCGCCGGGGAACAAAGGCCGGGGCCGCCGCCGTCCCTCCCGCCGCGCCGGGGGTCCTCTCCCCAAACCTCCCCCGCCTCGGGAAGCGGCACGGGCTCCGAGTCCCCCTCCCCGTCCGCTCCGCGATCCCTCTCCGCCGGCCACCGCGCTCCGCGGGCGTGGGCAGGTGGCGGGGGCCCCGTCGGGCCGTGGGGGGCTCTGCGGGAGTCGGGAGGGGAGGACACGCAGCGCTCTGACCCCCGGCCCGGTGCGCTGTGCCGTACTCTTCGCAGCCCGGAGTCCCCGTGTGTCCCGGCCCCCCCCCCCCCCCTCCGCGGGACGCTTTCGGGGCGAGGGGGGAGCTGTGGGGAAGCTGGTGGGGGGAGGGGGGTCCCCGAGCGGCGGCCGATCCCGAGCTCTGCCCACGCGAGACGGGGAATCCGCGGGGTCCGTTCGGGACCGCCCCGCTCCCCCCGCCGCTGCCCGGCTCCCCCGTCCTCCGCGGCCGCGTTTCACCGTGGCCGCCTCCCCCCCCGCGCCCCGCGGAGCCGGAGATCTTTGGGCGCCGAACGGCCCCGGGGGCTCCCCCACCGCTGCCAGAGCGAAAGCACTGGGGGGTTGTTTTTTGTTTTGTTTTGGTTTGGTTTGTTTTTTTTTTTTCTGTTTTGCCCCGAAATTCCTGAGGAAAGTATCGATTTTCCACGGCTACAAATGATGGAGGGCGCCGCTGAAACCCGCCGCGGCTTCTCCTGCCTGGGGTGTTCAGCCCCACGCGGGAATCCCGTCCTCCGTGGGCTGCGAGTCCGCGAACGCCGCGTCCCGCTCGCCCCTCGCGGATGGGCGGGGAGGGACGCTCCGGTGGCGGGGGCTCCGCGTCCGTCTGTGTGTGTCCTCACCCCCCCCCTTTCCCTGCATCCCGTACCGCGGGTTTTCCGCCCTTAAAAGTTCGCGTTGAAAAAAAAAAAAAAAAAAAAAAAAAAAAAGAAAGAAAGAAAGAAAGAAAAAAAAAGCGTGATTTGGCTCGATGACGCGCGAGAAATAAACGCAGGTTTAAAACGCCAGGTTGCCGCGGGAGTGAAAGTCCGTTTTCACGGGGGCGGCAGAAGCCCGTTACCGGCTGCCACCCCTGCTCCGAACCCCCGCCGAATCCGTGCGACCGACGGCGGGAGAGGGGAGCGGGGAGATAAACAGCGACCGAGGGGAAGACGGAGGAAGGGAGATTTCCAGCCCTGGCGCTGGATGGTTTATTTTGCAAACAAATTTCTTTTAGCTGAAGGGCTGCGGTGCACCAGGAAATGAGATTAGTTCTACCTTACATTTCCTCGCAATCTCTCGCCGTAATGCAGCGTTTAACTCACCGTGAGAGAAGATGTCATTTCACATAACACTGTGCTAATGGATAAGTCTTCCCCGACCTCTCAAGCACAACAAATCTCAGGCAAAGCCCATCGCGCACGACCTGTTAACTTAACCAGTTCTGCCGCCCGCCCGTCCTCCGCCGCGCTGCCCGGCGCCGAGCTCGCCCAGGAATTGTTATGCCTCTCTTTGGATGGTTAAAAAGGAAAAAAAAAAAAAAAAAAACCTCCCCTCCAGCCCCGCTCCGTGCCCTTTGTATTTGTTTGCCTTTTTTTTTTTTTTTTTTTTTTCAATGTGGTTGTTTTTAATTAAACGAATATCAAAATCTTTAAATAGAGGGAGAAAATCGCACAGCAAACTTTTCCGTTCGTCGGAAATACCGGGCGGCTTTCTTCCCAGAGATTTGATTTAGGGGAAAAAAATAAAAATATATATATATATACACACACATACATACACATAAGCGTGCGTGCATATTTACAGAGAGATACACATACATAGTTGGGCGTGTGAGTACATCTGTCTGAACATATAAATACGCATTTCCATCGGCTCTTTCTCTCCGTGAAAATAAACCCGGGATGAGCCCGCTGTCCGCAGCATCCCCCCCCGCCGTCCGTTCACCGGCAAAACCATCCCCGCGGCGCTGCCGGCCTTCCCGAAGGGGCTCGGCGTCTGTCGGGGCTGGGGGGTCCGCGGTAGAGCAGCCCCGCGCCCCGGGACCGGCGCCAGCCCCAACCGCGGTTTGTCCGCGCCCCCGGGGCGGGCGGGGAGAGGCGGCCCCGTCCGCGACCGCGCAGGGCCGTGTCAGAGAAGTTGAACTAGCAGCCTACTTACTATGCATTGCTGCAAACGGGTCGTGCTTACAGTGTATTTCCATCGGAGCGGTCCGGGCCGGGGCGGCCTCGCCGAGCAGGGTCTCGATTCGCCGGCGGCGCTTGGGTTTGGGGTGGGGGGTGGGAGGGAAAGCAGGAGACGGACCCCCAAAAAAAAAAAAAAAAAAAACAAAAACAAAAAAAAATCCCCAAAAACACTACAAAAAGAAAAATGCCCACACGCCAGAACAAAAACCACCACACACACACACACAAAAAAAAGGCAAAAAGCACACAAAAAAAAAAAAAAAAACCAAAAAAAAAACAACCAAAACCCGGAAGAGTCCCGCCCCGAGCGGGGTCGCGATATCCGACAGCGCCGGGCGAGCCCGGCTCCCCGCACCGCTCGCAACGTCCGGTGACTCCGTCGAGGAGGAGGAGGAGGAGGAGGAGGAGGAGGAGGAGAGAGGAGGAGAGGAGGAGGAGGAGGAGGAGGAGGTGGTGGAGGAGAGGGTGTTGTGTGTGGGGGGGTGGGGGGCTGAGCAGCGGCCGCCGCGGGCTGCGCCTCTGCCCCCCCCCCGACCGTTCCCCCCCCCCCCCCCGGCGGCCGGCTCCCGGTTCGGCGGCGGCGGAGGGGCCGGGAGCCCGGCGCTCCCTCCCCGACGGCTCTTTGTGCTGGCGGGCGGCGGCGGCTGCGCGGCAGCGGAAGGGGGGGGGGGGGGGGGGGGGGGCGGTCGCCCCGTCCCCGGGTCTCGGTGCCGCGGGGAGGGCGGCGGGCGCTCCGCCTGTGCCGCCCCCCCGCCGCGCCTTTCTCGCAGACCAACTCGGGGAAGCCGGGCGGGGCGGCGGGGGAAGGTGGGCGAGAGGGGCGGGGAGCGGAGGGGAGGAGGGGGGGGTGGGAGGGGGGGGGGCGGGCTCACCTCGCCACGGCCCCCGCGGGACCGGGGGAAGCGCGGAAAGGGGGGGGGGGGTGGGGGGGGGGTTGAGGGGGGCACGGAACGGGACGCCCCGTCAGCGCCCACCGTCCGAGTTGGGGCGCCGGCTCGGCGAGCCCATCGCCCCCCCACCACCACCACCCCCCCCCCCCCATCACACGCCCACCCCCCCCGCCCCGTTCCCCGTTCGGGCCCCGGCGCCTGGCGGGCTCTGGCCGTGCGGCCGGAGCGCTGCCGGCCCGCGGCGGGGGGTGTTCGTGGGGGGCGGGGGGGCGGGACGCGGAGGAGGTGCCACCCTCCCCCTCCCCGTAAAAAAAAAAAAACAAAAAAAAAAAAAAAAAACACCCTCCCCGCCCTTCCGCGGAGCTGCGCGGGCGCGGAGGGAGGGGCCGGCTTCAGCACCGCGCGGCTGGACAGCGGGCGGGGCGGGGTCGCCGGGCCCGTCACTCAAGCGCCCCGCGGCCAATCGCAAAAGTTAACTTGCCGGGCCCCTCCCGGCATTGGCCGGCGGGCGGCGGAGCTGAGTATTGGTCGGCTGACGGGCCAATGCGGGGGCGGGGGCGGGGCTGGAGGGGGGGGGGGCCCGCAGCCACGCGAGACCGTGTCGGGGTGGGGGGTGGGGGGGGCGGACATGGAGGGCGTGGGACCCCCCCCTCGCCCCCCGCCCCTTTCCCCCCCACACACACGGCGGGGGGGGGGGGGGCACGGAGTGTCCCGGGGCCGAGGAATAGGGGCTACACACCCACACCCCCCCACACACGTCCACGGGAGACGGGTTCCTGCAGGCTCCCGAAACGGCGAGGCAGGCCGGGACGGCGCCCACGCTCCGCCGACAGCACCGGATCCCGCGGGGATGGGGGGGTGGGAGCAGAAGAGGGGGGGGCTTGTGCTCTGCCGGCCGCGCGGCCCCCCCACCCCACGCTGAGCGCCCCCCCCCACGGACAGACAGACCGACCGACCGACCGACCGCGCCCTCGGGGCCCCGGCGGCGGCCGCTGCGGGCGAGCACCGGGCGAGTTTTCGTTGAGCTCGAAACTCCCGGGCGCAACCGAGGGGCCGCGGAGGGGGCGGGGGGGGTCGGCCGGGGCGTGGGGGGGGGTGCAGAGCCGTCGGGCCTTCATCCCTTCGCCTTCCCCCTCCTCCTCCTCGCCCCGCCGGGCACCGCGGGTGAAGCCCCCCACGCCCCGCGGGGACGCGGCCATGGGTGCCCGGGGCAGAGCCGCCGGTGCTGCCTCCCCCCTTTCCCCCCCCCCCCGGCCGCCCCCCCCCCCCCCCCCCGCCGCGCGGCGCGCCGCCATCAAACTCCGTATCGATTAAACGATTATTCAGGCGATTTAACTAATAAAAGGCCCCATCGATCGCTTCGGCATCGCACGAAGCCGCCGCGCTCCCCGCGGGGACCCCGCGACGGCGCTGGCCGTGCCCCCCCGCCGCACCCCCGGCGGCCGCGGACCCCGCGGGACCCCCTCCGCGGGACACGGGGGTCTCGGCAGCCCCCCGCGACGCCCCGAAGGCCCCGCGGAGCGCCGGCCCCAGTCGCGCCCGACTCTGCCTCGCGCCGCGGCCCACGCGTGACGGGCTCCCCGCGACCCCCAGCCCGAGTCCCACCTGTGCGGCCGGCCCGGGGTGTCGCGAAGGTTTTCTCCAACTCCATCCCGGCTTTTCGGGACTTGGGGAAGCGATCAGACAGAAAAGTTTCCACGTCGTGTTGGTATCGCCTTCCTTCTCCTTCTTTTTCTCCTTTTATTTTCTTGTTCTGTTTTCTCTTTTCTCCCTTTCTTTTTTCTTTCTTTTTTTCGTTTTGCTTCTTTTTTCTCTTTTCTCTTTTATTTTTCTTTCTTTTTTTCTTTTATTTTCCTTTCTTTTATTTTCCTTTTCTTTTTTCTTTTATATCCTTTCTCTTTTCTTTTCCCTTTTCTTTTTTTCTTTTTTCTTCTTTTATTTTTATTTTCTTTTTTCTTTCTCTTCTTTTCTTCTTTTTTATTCTTCTTTATTTTATATTTTTTTTTCTTATCTCTTTTTTCCTCTCCTTTTTTTTTGTTTTTGAGGGGCTCTTGCAGGTTAGAATAATTCAACTCTTCCGCTCCCCGCCGAGCTTTTGCAGCTGATCACTGAGCTGAAACTAAACGTTTTAGGTGGAAAAAAGCCTCTGAAGGAACCGTGAAATGATTAAGAAACTAAAGAGCTCCTCACCATGTGAGATCATGTCCTGTTCTCTAAAACATCACAAGATGTCCCCAGACGCAGCCAAAACCCAAGAAAACTCTTGACATCTGTTGTAGCAGGAATCAAAGTTTGCTCGCAGCCAGCCGCCCCCCGAGCGCTCCGCCGGCCCCGGCAGCAGCACCGGCCCCGGCCCCCTCTGCCCCCGACAGCCCGTCACCAACTTTTCAGCAGAACCGACTTCCCCTTCCCGGGCCGGGGGGTGACGCCGCTCCCCGGGGCCGCGCTCCCCGACGGGCCGGGCCGCCGCGGGGGCGGGACGGGGACTTGCCTGCCGGTGCCTGGGGGGGCGGCGGGGAGACCCCCGGCGCCCCGCATCACCCCGCTGCCCTGCCCTTCGCCCCTCGCTTGGGGAAAGGCGGGGAGCCCGGGGATGGGGTGGGGGGCTGATGGAGGTGCTGGGGGGGCCTGGGCTGCTTTTTTTTCCGCAGCGGGGGGAGGGTGGGGGGGTGTCTGCTTGGGGTCCGTCCCCCCCCCCCGAAGCTCCCTTTTGCACGACGGCTTGCAGCCGGTATCGAGCCGCGACTGCAGACCCACGGCCGCGTCCCGCAGGCCTCGGCGGCGCGGGTGAGCGAGGCGAGAGGAGAAGGGGGAGAATTCACGAGGCCTCGGCCGCCCTCGGATTTATTTTTCAGCAAAGCGTCTCGGGCAGGGGGGGGAGGGGGGGGGAAGGGGGGGAAAGAAAAAAAAATAAAAACATAAAAAAAAAAAAAAACGGCGCTCCCCTTCCCAAAAGACAAAATAAACATCAGCCCCGGGGCGTCTCCCGTGAAATCCGCAGCGCGCTGGCCGCGCTGCTCGCCTCGTCCACCGGCGCCTGCAGCGATGCTCCCCACTCCCACCCGCGCACACCCACAGCCCGCGGCCTCCCACGCCGCCGCCCGGTCCCTCTCCCACGTAACCCGCCCAGACATGAAAACTGCCTGGGGACGAGGGGCGCGGATGGGCTCTGCTCCCCTCCCCGGGCTGCCCCGGCGCCGGCACCGCCACGCCACAACCCCCTCCGCGCGTGGGGGGTGGGGGGGACGGGACGGCCGCGCCCCGGTGCGCAGCGGCCGCGGGCAGGGGAGAGAAGGGGGTCTGGGGGGGCTGAAGGGAAGGGACCACCGCTGCCTGCGGGCAGAGCGGGCAGGGGCAGCCCCGCTCGGGCCGGAGGGACGTGCTGGGATTTGAGGACGCGAAGCCGGTAAAGGGACTCCCGGCGCATCCCCCCCCCCCCCCCCCCCACACACACACACACCCCGCGTCCCCCCCCCTCCTCGGGAGCTGACAGGGACGCGACGCTGTTCCCAAAACATTCCTTCCCTCTCCCGCTCATCCCTCTGCTCCGGGAGCCGTCGCAGCCCAGGCCCGGACGGCTCTGCAGCCCTCCGGGACCCCCGGGGCCGCCTGGCTCCGTCCTGCGCGGCTGGAGGGAGGGAGGGAGGCCAGCTCTTGCCTCTCGCCCTTTTTGCTTCCCTTTTCACCAACGTTTCCCCGCTCTCATTTGCTTAACACGAAAATAACCGGCGGCCAGAGCCCGCTGCCCTCCCGCTCGCCCCGAAATGCCAGCCGCCGTTCGCTGCGGGAGGGTCCTTCCCCCCGGCGCTGCCCCGGGGAGAGGGAACCCCTAAAAAATCCAGCCAAACGACCAGCAGACCACCTCCCGCCCCTCCCCGCCTCCATCCCTCCAGATGCTCGCCTCGCCTCTCCCGTCCACGCCGGCCCACGGCCCCTGCAGCGGCGCGGAGCCCGGGAGCGCTTCTCTGGCCTCAGGCAGGGAAATGAACGAAAAGCGCTTTATTGTCCTAAAAACAGGCCGCGGGTGTCTCGCCGCCCCTCCCGCCTCGGCAGCGGGGCCGGAGCAGGAGCGTGGGGAGGGGGCTACAGGGACACGCGTGGGGTTCGCGATGGGGCCCGTTGCCCTCGGGGGGCGGCGGCGGCGCGGCCAGGGCCGTGCGGGATCTGCACCCCCTCCTTTCTCCTCCCCCTCCGGTGCTTCTCGGGCATCCCCACAACCGACTAAACGAAAACAGCACGGAGGCTTCTGCGGGAAGCTGCACGCCTCGCTCCCTGCTCGCTGCGGGGTGGGGGGGGATGCTTGGAGTGAAACCGGCACTGCCCCCCTGCTGGGTGCCACCCCCCCACACATCGAGGAGCAGGGATCCAGCAGTACCAGGGCTGCACTCCGCAGATGGGAGCCGACTCCTGTGGGGGTCCCCGGGCCCCATCCTGCTCCCTGACCAAGGGTGTGATGGAAGGGCAGGTGTGAGAAACGTGTGCCCCCCCCTTCCCCCCTCCGGACGCCCAGGAAAAGCCCCCACTGTCCCCATGCTGGTGTCAGCGGGGCTCGAGGCACCCGGGATCCTGGTGCTCAGGCGGGCGTTCCCTCGAACCATCCCCTGAAAAAAAAATTAAAAAAAAAAAAAAAAAGAAAACAGCATCCACCGCTCTCGCAGGAGCAACTTCGGAGGGGGCACGAAATCTAAATTGCACTGTGGGGGGGGAAGGGACACCAGGGAGCCAGCCCACCGCAAAGCCGCGGCCTCAGCACGGCCTGGGCCACGTTTGAGAGTGCCACGGTGCTTTCTGAACACAGCAAGAGGCAGGTGGAAAAGCAGCGAGGAGATGAAACGGTGGCACCACAGAAATCTGGTTTTGGGGTTTTCCAAGGGCAGATGTCATTGCCTACCTTCTCTCAAGGGACACGAAAGATCACAAACCCGGCCTAACCTTTTGTCCTTCTATCTGTGATGCATACTGTCGGGAAGGGAAGGGATAACCCCCTCCCCACAAGGCTCACACTGCAAACCCAGGCACCGCTTAAGGCTCGGCATAACAGATCACAGCCAAAACGCCTGGAACCACCGGAGAAAAGTAACTGCACCCCGCTTCCCGCCCCGGGTACCAGCCTGCGCTGCTCCCCAGGCAGCCTCCTTTTCCCAAGGTGTGGCTAATCACGGGTTTGGGGGAGTGCAGGAACAGAGGGCTGCACAGAGCATCCAAAGCCCCATGTACCACCTTTAAATTTACTCTATGTGTTTTCTCGCGTTCCTGTAAAATGCACCGATGCCACATGTGGAAGAGGGGGGAGCGTTGCTACAAATGATTATCTGCCCCTCAGACTCTGCAGGCTTAGAGGGTGGAGGTTTTACTGTTTTAGAAATAGCCACCCATTCTCGGCAGCACCGTAGTCTCGTTTTCTTCTGATGCCTGTCATTTTAAATTCAAAATATGGGAGATCTAGTGGTGATCGTGGTCCAGTGTGTTCCCAGAGATAAAAGTGAACCCTGAGATGGGTATGCTAATTAGACTGAAGTCATTTAAAAGGTGTTAGATGGGTGGTTCTGTAAATTTGAGAGCACTTGGGTAGCATAATCCAATATCCTCAGCGATCTTTAGAGAGCTGTCCGCAGGAAGCCATCAGGAAATGAGGCTTGAAAGATGAGAGAGTGGAGACGAGTCGTCCCATCAGCAGCGGAGTTTTCTCGGCTGGTCCACGTGGAAGAGGTTCTCCATCCCCCCCAGATAATGATCTAGCTACCAGGGGTTAGCGGGGAGAGATGTCAACAGTCCCATCAGCACTCCCTTTCCCAGTCTGGCCAGTCCAGCAAGGAGGGAGAGCCGAGGTGGCGCAGCTGACAAAACCAGGGGGTTTTATTTTCGAGACCGTGAGCAGCGGGCAGGAAATGCCGAGAGACTTCTCTTTTTTGGTCAATATGCATTGTTACTTTTGCTCTCTCCTCACCTGCCCCTAACTGGTGTCTCAGAAGTGCCGCCAGTTGTACCAGTCAGCGAGCAGTGTGCCGGGGGTGCATTCAGCAGAGAAAGGCCCCGCTGTCCCGCAGCAGGGAGCACCACGGCGGGGGGAAGTGCTTTTCTGAAGGAACCACCCATGGCTTCGCTGTCCTGCACCCCAAGGGCTGATCCTCATCACCCTTTTCTGCCCGCCAGGACTTTTTTTCTCCAGTCCACAACCACAGAGTGACTGAGGCTTGCGTTTTCATGGATAAATTTCTGTTGAAGCGGAAGTCCAGCCTAGTTCGCCAAAGCAATGAATAGCCTAATTTTATCAGTTGAGTGTGGAAGGGTTCAGGGCCACAGTGAACGCTTCAGTCCCCTCTCTCAGTCACTTTCACTGATCTCGAGTGTGGTTATTTTGATAGTTTAAAAGACATGGTTTTAAAAGTCAACTTTGCAGAACTTTCTGCCTGGCGACACGCTTACGTGCACAGCTGAAAATGAGCCAGCATCCGAGGCGGGCCAGGCCACACCAGATGCTGGCTTCCACCTCTTCCTGAGAGCTCTGTGAGAAACCCCACCGTATCTTCTGAGATTACTGCGGTGACGTGGTAGGGCGAGGGCCTGGCCTCCTGGGAGCGCTGGCGCGGCTGGACGGCAGAGCTCGGGCTTCCCCGGCCCCTGCACCCACCGCTCCTCGCTCCAACCCAGCGGAAGAGCGTGACGCAAGGCGCCGGTGTCCTCCCGCCTGCGGGGCATCCCGGGGGGGGCAAAGCGCTTCCTTCAAGAGGAGACGGGTGAGGGTGGGAGAAGGGAGCTGAGCCCCTTTGCCAGGCCAGGGGAGGTGCAGTGGGA